GCAGCCCATTTGATTGACACCCCATCCACCACTTTCAACATTCACTCGCTGCCCCTCTTATGGGCCAAACCAAACCCTCCTCAGAATATTTTAAGGAGGTAGCCTAGATCCTAACTTTTTCTTATTTTAAAGGCAAATGTCAAGTGCTGTGTTCCAGATGCAGTTTGACTGGTCAAACTACTAAATAGTTACCAAAACACAATTTATTCATAGGCTATAGTTAAAATACAGCAGAAGAAAGAACTTATAATAGCAACTCTATAGGAAAACTTAACAGAACAATAGATACAATAACTATTACGAATTAACTGTTCCAATATAGTAACATCCTATAAATACACCCCTTGGGAAAAGACAAATTTCAGAAAACAGATTTTCTCACATGCAATGCCCACAGTAGGAAGAGAAACCCCAGCTTCTATCTGTAACCGTGAGAGGGGAGCAAAATAGCTTCTAATTCTTCAAGACTCCTATTATCTCTGTGGAATCTAAAAGCTGTAAAACTAAAAACCTGGTCTATGAGAGCTAGTCGCACCCATCCAGGCTGCTTCTATTGTTCCAACTTAAGAAAAAAAAAACCGCAGGGCCTTACAAGCTATTTGTTACTACAGACTGAATGATAGGTGTCGAACAATCTCTCCCTTAAAAGAAACCAGGACAAAATACACCTCTTAAAGCCCCAAATCGTCACAGCCCAATGACACAGTGTCAGCAGTCTGTACAATTCGCAAGATGTATTGCTGAAATTCACCCAAGGCTGTTTAGACAGCACCCTCCAAACAGTGACTTCTTACCCCTAGAAAGACAAGGGTAGCAGAAACGTCGGAACATTTATCTGCAAGTTCCCCTCCAAGCCACTCACCATCCTGACTTGGATATATGTTGCCATTCCTTTTCTTAACTCTGTGATTAAAATGCTGCAGCTCTCTTCCTAACAGTACTGTGAATGACCCTGCACACCAAGAACTGCTTTAATTCAGGAAGGCAGCTCACAACCACCCACTCAAAAGCATTTTGATTTGGCCAAAAAATACTGGCCTAGTCAGCAACTTCCACATCCAGTGAATGAAAGAAGAAAAACTTGAAAAACCACCTTGATAACAAGTGATACCAGTGAGATTCCTCAGTAGTTTCTGTGCTTCGTAGGAATCCCTTAGGGGTCTAGCTATGTATTAAATAGGATTCAAGGCAGTGACTTTAAAGATCAATCCCCAAGTGAGCTAGCATAGAATCCACCTTCTGTCCCAGCAGGGAGAATAATTAAATCAGTGAGAAAGAAAATTGTGTTTTATTTCCCCCAATCTTATTATGCCAGGTGCACATGTTTTTGTTCCAAAGTGCTCAGTAATGTAGTTGGCTCTCTCCTTGTGTGCTATATTGTTGTTGGAAGCTGCTCGCAGAAACATTGCATGTTGTCAATGTAAAGGAGATGCTTTCATTGCGGGGTGTTGAAACCCTCTCTCTTGCTGACCTGCCCATAGCCTGTACTCCACTCCACACTGCAGCTCAGAAGGCAGGAGTCTGAATGGCTGATCTTGTATCCCAGTGCCTTATTCCTACTTTCTCCCCGTACACCTTGATGCCTGTCATATCTAAAAATTTATCTTTATCTATATTCAGGGACTTGGCCTCCACAGCCTTTTGTGGTAGCGAATTCCATAGACTATTTACTCTTTGAGTGAAGAAATGTTTCCTCATCTCAATCCGAAATGGTCTAGTCTGTGTTCAATGACTGTGTCCTCTAGTTCTGGACTCCCCCGACAGGGAAAATATCCTCCCTGCATCTAACATCTTCAGCACAGTTAGAAGCATATGCATTTCGATCAAGAGATAGCAGGAACTGCAGATGCTGGAGAATCCGAGACAACAAGGTGCAGGGCTG